AATGTAAATATTCATTTAACCCTATCATTATATTTCATTATATATTACCTATAACCAATAGAAAGTAGAGGTTTTCATCTATCAAATGATGTATTGTATAAAGTTTTATTCCGAACAGAATATTGTCAATTTCACTCACACTACAAGATTCATTCCTGTGGGAAAGTTAATGACTAGCTTGGATGAATTTGTAATGGCTCTTTTCGCATAGTTAGAAAGACAAGAAAATTTTGGGAGGTAAGTGAATTTGTTTACATTTTGCATGTTATTAGTCTATATTCTTTGGTGAGAGCAAGAAAAATGAAGATTGGGTAAGTTCTTTATTTCTTGTTTTTGATATTTATTCTTTATTTATTATTATAAAAGTAACTAAAATCTAAAAATATAGATCTTTTTTAAGTTATTTAAGACTAGATTAGATAAAATAAGTAGTAATAATAATATAATTAAAATGGTTCACGGGAAGCTCGTGGATAATGTGATTCGATAGCATAACATGAGCTGCACGTTCCCTGAGTGATTTACAACTTATAATGGCATAGATAATAGTCAGACACAGTTCAAAGGGCAGTAAAATTTAATTATAAATAGATGTATAATGTTTGAACTTAAAGCTACTTAGGATAAATGAATGTAGTTTCATGTTACAATATGAAGTCATTCTAGAAAAAAAAAAGAAGGTAATTTAGGTTTATTTCAAATTTTTGTTTGGTGGTTACGAGGTTGGTCGAATTGACCGATTTCATTTTGAGATAGGGTAGAAAAAATAACAGATAAATTATAGTGTTTTACTGAAAAAAACAAAAAACGTTTGAAATGCATTTAGGAGATTTTAGGGATTACACAAAGGAAATTTTTGCTTTTTTGAGATGAGGACAAGTATTTTTAATTTTAACATGAAAATTACTTTGCACACAGACTATTCAAAACAAATACTGAGTATATTAATGGACAAATCTTTATTTTATTATATTGTAAATTCTTCACTGAAAAATATAATTTTTTGTATGTGAAATACTTATAATATGAACTTAGAGACTGCCAAATTTTGTGAAGACACACACACACTATATTGAAAGTTAGAAATATTAAATCTATAAAGACTTTAATTGAGTACAAAGAGGTCATGTGGTTGGTCAAATTGACCAAGCCCATGTTTAGAGAGTTAAAGACTCGAAGTGTTACTTTTGTTCAAATTTTAATTTTGTGTTGTTGTCACTATTCAAACATGTTTGTTTACAATACAAGCAATTTTTTTTTTGTCTAAAAAATTTAAATTCTTAATTTTTTTGTGAAATTACTGTGCTACTTGAGAAGTTAAGAACACTGGTAAGGACTATATCTTAAAACTCAAAGCATTAATTATTTGTAACTCACCATCTCCTATCTCTAGAATGTACTGCTGGATGTCACTTAAGATTAGACCTTGAAAAATTGTCAGAATCATCCATCCATAAGGAAAAGTTTAGTATTTTAAAGAAATATATCATTGATCTCAATCTTTAGGGCAAAAATAAAAAAAAACAACTTGAAATGTAATAGATTTAATGACACCAATCATTCACACAAACCTTTGCAATGCTTTTGGATTTGGCCAAAATATTTGTATATTGTCTTCCCTTTATGTCTTGAGGGCATAAATGATTTTGATCTAAGATGCTTTCGGTAATAATCACTTTTGCATTCACACTTCAATGTTATCAAGATCGTCAACCAATAGAAGGTTTTGCTACAAGAAACTGTTGTTGAAATACACAATGAGAAGCTTCATTCATTTCTGCTATAGTAAGATTCATTTTACAAGTAAAGTAAATGCACTAGTTTAAGTAACCTTAAACTTACAAATACACAATCTCAAGTTTACAAAAGCAATTTGAACCAGCTGAATTTGAAGTTCGAGAAGTTAACC